ACGGACATGTGAGCTCGTCATTGACATCGCCTGTACGTGTTTGAATCCAACCATAGTCGTCTACCCAAGGCGCGGTGAAGAGTGGCATAAAAGACAAAGACAGATTCGCTGTCTGAGAGATCAGTAGAGGAAGATCACAGGTAGAGGACCTTACGTCGGTTAGACGACTATATTTTGTCGAAATAATTAGGCCCTGCGCGGACATCTGCAAGAAATGGCACCCTCTACAACGCGTAGCTGCAGCTCGTGCCAGATGTCTGCGAAGGAAGCACCTCTGGCTACATGTCATCCTCTACCCATACGTTGCCGATAGGCGCGGACAACTAGCAAAAGCTTGTGTCTGTAGCAGTGTATGGTTTGTTGCAAATGCCCGCGAGTGACTTCTTCCTCAGCATAGTGTCATGTGAATTATTTTGATCATGCATACATAAATAAGCAAAATATAGGATCTGGCTATCTTGTTATCTTCAGGGAAGGCATTTTGGAAGGAGGTAGTACTGCTTGGAACGAAGATGGTGTGCCGAATCTCGTGGAACAGTGGATCAGAGACTCGAATTTTGACACTCGAAGCGACGCCGTTGTCGAGCCGTCTGACGATGAAAAAAGCAATGGCACTATCGACTTGGATAGCACCATCGATCTAACCGATGAAGGAGTGGGAAGCATCAGCCATTCCGCTGCAACCGACGAGAACGAGAAAAGCAACAAAAGTCACAGCGCTGTGGAGAAATCGGATGAAAACGGGAATTGCAACAATGCTAATGAGCCATCCGACGAAAAGAAAATCAACAACGACGCTACCGAGGAAAGTGCAAACGATGGGGACCCTGTTGCATCTTCTGAGAAAAAAGCAGATGGGAACAACGACGCTAACTTACTCGATGACGATTTGGACAGCAGCAATATTTTGTCGCCTAGCCATGACGATGCCAGAGACATCAAGGGCGGTAGCGATTGTAACCCTGCCGATGAAGATGACGAGAGCGTCAGGACCAGTGACACTCCCTGGCCTTTCGATATA